AAAAGTTTACTAAATATATGTACTGATTATATTGATTTCAATAGTGTTCATCCCTAGGTGATAATGACTAATGGCTACTGTATCAATTTAATTCTACTGTGATTCAACTTAGAATCAATGTTTGATTGATGAATTGTTAAAAAGATATAAAGAAAGGTCACTTTCAATATATTAGAACTAACTATCAAGTTTCCTACCAACAAGTAGATTCAAATTACTGAGTTGATTTCTCTAGATTACCCTGAGTAATTTTCAATATATAATCTAGTAGATTGATATTGCCCCTGAAAATTCTGGTTTGTATTTCAGCTCCTGTTGAAGGTTCAGCTACGCTTCCAGCTTGCACATAAATAAGTTTAAAACCATAAATATTCAAATGAGATAAAACAACTATTAGAAAACAAATTGGGAAATCATAGCCAGATGTCAGTTACCAGAAAACAATGTTTTTGGAAGTACTACCAGTACTGGATCTGTATTTCAATATTTGAGAAAATAGCGATGGCCAACGTAATACGCCCACAATTTTAATGACAGCCAAGTCATTCAACCTTGGGTTATAATAAACAATTCCTTCAGGTTTACTCTAAATCACTCCAGAATTTTGTATTCTTAGGTGTTAAGAGCTAATGATTGAACAATATTGAAGATGTTTTTAAGAACAAAGGCCATAACCCATATTACATGTTTTACAATTTTTTGCTGTTTAATAGGGTATATCCTTGGGTGATCCACCAAGTTTCTTTAAAATCTGTCAAGAATTGTGCCTTGAACGAGATTTCTAGAACAAGGGCAATAAGTCATATTAAATACTTTTTTGAAATTTTTTGGTAGAATACAACATTGGGAAATAATAAACAATTTCACCACGGTTCGTCAAAATCTGTCAAGAATTGTGCCATGAACGAGATTTCTAGAACAAGGGCAATAACTCATATGAAATGCTTTTTTTGAAATTTTTTGGTATATATATATAGAATACAACATTGGGAAATAATAAACAATTGCACCACGGTTCGTCAAAATCTGTCAAGAATTGTGCCTTCGAAGCATTTCACAAACTAAAAATTGGAACAGTTTTCAAGAGCAGGGGTATTAACTCATATCAAATGTCATGTCTGATTTTCAATTTGTAAATACAAAGATTGTTATAAATTTTATCAAAATCCATCAAAAACCCAGTTCTCTATTGTGTCCACAACACATTTTCAAATAGAAATTGAAAGTCTTTCCAGGAACAAGGGCAATAACTCATATCAAATATTTTTCGATTTGTCTGATTTCAATATCATTAAGTGACAATAAACATTCACAACAAATTTTATCAAAATCCATCAAGAAACCAGGTCTCTATATTGTCAACAACCAATTTTCAAGAACAAGGGCAATAACTCATTAAATATTTTTAGATATGTCTGATTTTCAATAGGATTCATCTTTGAGTGTTTAAAAACATTCACACCAAATTTTGTAAAATCCATCAAGAAACTAACTCTCTATCATGTTCAAAACAATTGTGGACAAACAGACTGACAGACTACTATCAAGAAATCACTTGTCCAAATAATATTGCATGAAAAATGCCTAAGTTTATGGTAACACCACTAGATTAAATTGAATAATGCTGTAGGTAGGCCTATAGTATTAAAGCACATTGTTATCATAAGCAGAAAATTTCAACTTGCTGGATCAAAGGTTAACTCTGAAGGTAACTCTTACTACAATTGATAATTCAAATTGTCATACATTAGTTGAACCTATATTTATGCACATGAGAATTCATTGACAAATTTTGTCAAAATCAAAAACGTAAAATTTTCTTTTTATGTCTTAGATGTTTCTTTAGATATTCAATAAAATAATTAAAAATTTATTAATTTTGATTTTTTTTTATAAATCCCTTACTTTGAGTAATATTTCATGAGTAACCAACTTGACAACAGCTGCAAAATGCATCCCTTATTGTATAACATATTTGATCTAGATATCAATGTCAGCAAAAACATTTTCTATGCATCTACCCAGTGGTATCATTATCTTTTCTTAGTATTTATCTTCTACAACAATTCATTATAACTATTGTCTGAACAAAGTAAAATGTAATGTACTCATACATGTGCTGAAGATTTGTGATGGGCTAGTAACATGTTATCAGATCTGGTCTTTTTCAAAGGAATGATAACAATTAGGGCCTACATTAAAGATTTAAATGGTACACTACTTACTTGGATCAGGACCAACGTAATAATTGGAGCTATCACTCTGCAGAGCATCTTCACTCAGTAGCCTACGACAGTAGCGTTTGCAACAACTTCATGAAGAAAAACTAATTAAAGGGAGACAACTTCCTTTCTTCACAATATTTTCAGACCAAAATAAGATCAGTTTATATTCTGAAGACAAGGCTTTAAATATAATAAAATAATTTATTCCCAATGAAATGATACCTTAAAAAACAAACAAATATAATGATACAATAGACCTATATAAGATGATGAAATAGTTTTCATATTTTGTAAAATCAACTGTAGTTTTTTCTAACTCTTCAGAATGGTTTGAAGTTTTTCTAATTGAAATCCTTTCCTGGAATCATGCTTAATCCTGACCATCTTTTCTGAAATTTTATAAATTTTCCATAATAATTAGAGTTGATATTTATATCCATAAAGAAAAAGTCATTTCCTAAGTAACAGTGGTCAGACAGTAGATTTAGCTTAAAAAAAATATAAAAATGTATGAGATGTAAGTTTTCATAAAAAAAATCTAATTAACATAGAGCTCAAGATATATATTTTCTGTGAGTTATTTCAATAGTAACCCACAGAAAATAAATGAAAAATTGCACTTAGTTTTTGTAGTTTACTTGACTTGTACTATACACAAGCACTTTGTTGATTCTGAGATATTCATTATTGAAAAGTGACATGTTAGTTAAAATGCAATTGCCATTAGCATTGTCAACAGAAAGAAGAGTTGTTGTAAAATCTATAATGAATAATCCAAAGAAAAAAAAGGTTATCTGCCTAAGTACAATTGAAGATTTTGATTCTGCCAAATGCAGTTTGTGTCCATAGGAAAGGTATATATGCATATTCAGAAACGATTTAAAACATGAACACTAACTTATATTTTGAAGACGTTTTTGTTGTTTCAATGAACACAATGTGATTCTGGATTTTTTAATATAATATATTTTACAATAACAAAATATTTTCAGTGTTAAAAAAGTGCTAACCCATGTACTTTGTCAAACTTCAGTAGGGACACAGGCTGAAAATACATCAGTTGTCTGAAGATCACATAGCATGAAACTCTGAGTAACAACATGTTTTTAAAGTTCTGTTTTAATATTTATAAATAGCTCGACAATTGATGTATTGAGCACTATTTTAATAGTGGTATTTCTATATCACTCTACAATTGATGTATTGAGCACTATTTTAACATTGGGATTTCTATATCACTCTACAATTGATGTATTGAGCACTATTTTAACTTTGGGATTTCTATACAACTCTACAATTGATGTATTGAGCACTATTTTAACACTGGTATTTCTATATCACTCTACAATTGATGTATTGAGCACTACTTTAAAAAGACGACTCGTTTTAATAACTTTCAAATAGAGGTAATTCTGACAGCCATGGATTTGAAGGCTCAAACTTTTACCTTGAGCTGGGAACACTGTGAATGGCTAATGAATTATCGAATTGATGTTAGTCAGTCAGGTCTGGCTAATTGCTTAACATCAAAAGTCTTTTTCTTTAATGAGCCCTGCCATGTGACCTCATTAAAATTGACATTTTCTTTCAAAGAAGCAATGATGTATAACAATAGATATTTTAATAAAAGATAGCTTGCCAGGCAAGGTAACATACAATCACTGAAATAAGAACAGGCTTAAGTGACTTAAATACAAATTTTATTATTTTAAAGATCTTCATAATGCATTTGTAGTTATTTATTTAATTTATTCAAAAAAGATTTTAAATCCAAAGTAATAACCCAAAAGTCCTCGAATTCAAACTTCACTAAATTCTTGTCAATATAAATGATCACACTAAAATAAGATGAAATCTATTGTGCTTAATAACAAATTTGACCAGCTCATATTAAGTCAAGAGCAATAACTCAAAATGCGTTCATCGAAACATCTTCAAATTCAAACTTGCTCTAGATCTCATCAATATAAATGATCACACCAAATTTAATTAAGATCGGATGAAAACTGAGTCTCTATTGTACTCACAAATATATTTTCATGCTTTTTTCTTAATAAATCAAGGGCAATAACTCAAAAACTATTTCAGTCAAACTTTACCAAGATCTCATGAATATAAATCACACCAAATTTCATTTAAATTGAATGAAAACTGTAGTCTCTATTGTGTTCACCAACAAATTTTGGCACATTTTTACCAATTTAAAGGCAATAATTCAAAACTGTTCATCAAAAAATCATCAAATTCGAACTTGACCAAGATCTCATTGATACATATCATCACACCAAATTTCATTAAAATCAGATAAAAACTGTAGTTGCTAATGTGTTCACAAGAAATGCAACAGCAATGGCAATGGCAATACATGTCCATATTTCCATGTGGGCATATAAAAATTAAAATTTGAAAATCTTTTAAGAGTCAAAAGACTTCTTAACGAATGTAAAATGATTTTATGTTATAGAACATAAACTTAAAAGCCAGTTATCATATGAATTGCAACTTGGATTGAATGAGCAAGTTATCTATTTCTTAGCTCGAGGTCTATTTTTTGTTTAACGATTATAGAGTTATTGTCTTTGTCATAGCATGTAACAAAATTAACTTGAATGTAATAGATCACAGTTTTTCAATTTTGACTGAAATGAAAATTCTAAATGAAAAGCAGAAGTAAACACTGTTTACAATTTTATTAATGAAGTTGTACAAAATCAACAAATATTTTAAGAGAGAAAGACAACATATTTATTAGAAGATTTAAAGAAAGGTTTCATTATGTGTTTAGGGGAATTAAAATATTTCCTTTATATGACAAATTATGTTTTACCAGTAATAAGTTCTAGTGAATTCACAGAAAATATTCTAACATGCTCAGTACTGGCTATTAAAGGAGGTTACCAATCTTTTTTCTACCATCAACAAAATCACCAGTGTATACTACAATCAGAGAAAATACATGTGGTTTCTGATCTTTCTGTGAGTGATGGTTACAGATATTTAGTACAAGACGGTAAGAAAATAGTAATTTTTAATATGACTGACTCTATATAGTTTTTTTTTGCATAGAAAAAGTCACCTGTTGTTCGAGTGAGACAATATACCTAGGCCCTGTGTGCTAGAGGCTGTGCACATTGAAAGCCCTCATGATTTGGAATAGAACAGGCATTTTAGTCAAATTCTGTTACACAAAAGAGAAGAATTTATATAATGTTTCCAGGTCCTACCTGTGGTCCTCCACCTACACTAGGAAATGGTCAACTGGTGTCAGTTAGTCAGGTCAATGGTGATTATGTAGCTGAATATTCATGTAATACTGGATTTTATTTTTCGGGGACCAAAACATCTACTTGTTCTGGTGGAATATGGTCAACTGGAATGAACTGTAAATGTAAGTTGTTTTTAATCTAAAATACAGTAGAGAGAAAAAGGTTCATTTTCTCAGTGTTATGGTTTATTTTTTAACAAACATTTGTCATATCCCATAGCAGATCAAACTGCCATTAACAGTGAAAATTTATGATGGTCTAAAAATTCAGCCAGTCCTGAATCTTGTTATAATAAAAGATAGCTTGTCAGAAAAAGGCCAGAGAAGGTAACATGCGTCCAGAATAGGGCTGCAACGATTCACCAATGAATCAAAGAAGCGAGATTCTTTCTTATCCTGGCGCGATTAATTCTTAGTCCCCTTTAATAACAAATGACACAGAATCCTTGTGTGTATAAGAAATTGTGTCATGTTTATATTTTCCAAGTATGATTTTCACATCAAAATTTATTTCTGACTTTAAAAATTTGGATTTTTTTCACAATTCCTTACTTCTAAATGTTTTCAAGTACTTAATAGTGACAAAATTGTAAGTAAATTTACAAATTTCTACTATTTCTTCTCTTTCCTTCTCTAATAAATGAATCGCGATAATTGTCGCAATATAGCATATCTTGTTGAGTATCGTATATCTTATCGAATCGCAAGTTTGCAACTTCAAGAACCGTTGCAGCCCTAGTCCAGAGACAGAATAATTTTAAGTGAGACATTTAGCCAAGTTGAAATATTACTTTATAAGTTTGAAAACAAGGACCATAACTAGCAACAACATATTACTGATATTTCTTAATTTCAATAAGATGCATCCTTGAAAACCCAACAATTTTACCAGGTTTCATAAAAATAATATAAAAGCTATATACTTCCAGTTAAAAGTGAAACACATTTAACGGAACAAAAATAATAATTACAAGATAAGAATTGAACAACTTATAAAGAATAAAGGCAATTACTCATTTCAAAGAATTTCCAATTTTGAGTTTTCCGCAGGGCTCATCAATTCAGCAATTTCACCAAAGTTTGTCAAAATCTGTCCAAAATAACATTA